TACTAGCTATACCTTTCAGTTTTGTGCACTATTTTCGGAATGCTATAATGTAACAGATAATGCTCACGGTTTGAGATCTACTATCATGGTTTTTTGCAAAACTGCATATTAAACACAGTGATTGAGATTATCAAAAAACACAACGATTAAACTTTTAACACACCGTAGAGGAAGCTACTAGTTAAAAATATGTCCTCCAACAGTCATTTCCTAGGAACTCTTAATAAAAAAAATACACAATGCATTTTATCAACATCAACCGTGCAGTAGGTCTTGTACTCATTCAGAACAAGAATGAGGCACAAACTAAATTCTGAAGCTCAAGCAAAAACCCTCACAAACTACCATACTAGGGGACATTTCATGTTCACTACATATGAGCCCTGCTAGTTATGAATGCAACGCTGATCCTTACAGATCCGTACCTATTTTCTAGTAGGAGACTGAGGTAGAAATTTCTTCCACTTTGCAGTTCGGCATTTGAAATAAAGTACTTGCTTTTGGCAAATTCCTCATCCTTGTTGCCAATTTCTATAAATTATGAAAGACAAAACCACAAAGTAAAGACAAGTAGTTGATATTTACTATCTAATTGCATGAGCATGATTGACTCCTCACAAAACCTTGTAATCTCATTAAAATATCTCTAAGCAAATCAAAGTTGACTCTCTACAATAAAAAAATTATGCAGCAAATTCGAACTTTTTGGTGCAGAAAACAAACATTTTAACAAAATGCTTGAAAATCTTTGTCATCGTTGTAATGCTCCACTCTTACATCGAAAAAAAATATGTTTTTGAACATCATATACCGGTTCAAGTCACACACTAACAACTGCTTGAGCTTAGGCCAGGGCTTGGTATGTGAGGAACACTGGAACTACCATAGAGAGTAGAGAGCAAAATGTATTCCTTAAGCAGAACCAATTCAATTCAGAATAAACAACTTCAAACTCGAAAACCCACATGATAAATCATGAATAAAAATTTGGAAAGAAAGAGACCAGTCAGTTTCATTCCTTTCATAATTAAATTTTTAAAACAGTAAAAAGTATAGTAGATGGAACAAGTAAACTGCTAGAAGATAACTGAGACCTCAAGTGCGTGCTTGTAGCGCTTGAGCTTACGAAGCTCCCTTACGATCCGATTGAGCTCGTACTTGCGCACCGTGTGCCCCTCCTCTTTCCATTTCCGTATAGCAATGACGGCACTGCGTTTCGGGAATACAAGGCTCAACAACCTCCGCCCCAGTGTGTCCCGCCCTTTTGTTCCGCTTCTTAAGCCATCATTAACTCCCCCACCTTTTAACACCGATTCTCCCACTGCATCCGCCGCCGTTGCCGTTGTGAAAAAGCGCGCAGCGGACATAACGGTTGTCTTAACTGACCGGAGCAGCATCTTCGCTTGAGATATCACTGCGTGGGCTTGATAAATGTTGGTTTCTGGCTGTAATAAATAAGTTTGATGCTCAATCAAAACGTTGGTCTCAGCAAAAGAACAAACAGGTAGAGTGCATGCAGTCAAACATTAAACGAACAAATCAAAAAGTAAATGAACGAGTACTGGGAATGATTCATTACTGGATTTTAAAATGTTCAAGCTGACCAAATGAGGGAAATGGTGAAGAGATTATGTTAGGTACCTAGCCTGTCATTAGTACCGAGGCATCAGAGAAGATAGAGAGGACATGGGGGATATGGATATAATATATGAGAGTAGACAGAGAGAGTGTTTTGTATTTTAAATTTATTGTTTTATATTGAAGTACTAGTTTTTAAAGAAATAAATTTCCTCTTGTAAAAGATATTTTCTTTTAATTATATAGAATATAAATTCGATAAAATAATGAGAATTTATTAAATACACAAAAATGAAATTTTGACTACCACTTCGTTTTCAGTAAAAAAATTATTAGATTAAATTTTTATTTTATTATATGTACTTCAAATAAAAAAATATAATCTTCATATAATGAACAATTTGTTTAAATATATTATATGATTCGTTAAAATTAAAATTAAAAATATAATCCTCATATAATATATAATTCGTTCAAATTAAATTCAATTTAATAAACACACTAATTAATAAAATTTTTAATTTAATTCAATATTTTAATATTCTACTATTTGATAAAAATCTTAAAAAAATGTGAAAGATAAACATTGTAAATATTAAAAAGAAATATTTTTTAATTTAGCTAATATACTCAATTATCCTCTTTATTACATCATATTAAAATTAATAATATATGCATAAGGACAAGATAAATAATAAACAAATAAAAAGTTTTTAAAGCCTTATGAACTACTTACTCTTGGTTCATAAATCTCCTTTTTAAGCTTGCAAAACTTTTATCCATTACTTTAGCCTATATTTTTTCTGTGTCAATGCCTTCACCAGAAATCCAGCGGTTCATTCAACAACCGACACGGTAAGGGCTTAGATAAAATTGCCTTTAAGAACTTCAGGGGAAAGGAAAAGAAAAGCATTTTGAGAAGGAAACAAAGGAAATTTCAGGGTATCTATTTTTCTTTCCTGACAAAAAGTCTACACAATCCTTTCGGTAAATTCTCAATATACAAGAAGAACATCAACATTCAACATTCCTTCTGTTTCAAGGAATTACTCTTTTCTTGGTTATGAAGGTGTTACGATTCTGTACAACCTGGTAAACAGCTTTCAAGGAACCAACTTCGACAAGCTGCCTCCTGCCAACATAAAATATAAGATGAAGAACTTAGACGATAGACAAAATTTAATAGACAAAACAAGGTCTCGAATTACTGATCTCTACCACTAGCAAATGGAGACCTATGAACATGTTGCAAGCAATTCAATAAGATGCCCACTAACCAGACACCCTTCAACAGCATCTTTAAACTTTATAACTAACATATTCTAGTAGTGTTAAACATAAATAACGACACATTTGGATCACAACAAAAACGAAGACATAACAGAGTAAAGAAGAACCACTATTGAGTTAGAGAAATTACCAGAAAAGAGAGTTTAGTACCTTAAAAATACTTCCAGGGAGACTTTTTAATGTCTGAGTAAATTTACAGTTGACCCGCTTATTAAATGGAAGGTAATCAAACTATAAATTGCAAAATCTCCACTTAGAGGCAGCAAAACTACAATGTATTTAACAATGCAAGAAAATCCATTGATTCCTCATCTTCCTTAACAACCTGCTCAAATTCAGAATTCAAAATCAATCAGAATGTGCTCCTGCACCTTAAACCAGAACAATGGAACAAGATTAAACCAAAAGAAATTGAATGTGCAATCGCCTATTCCCAAATCTAAA